TTGCAAGGTATGGTATAAAAGGTCACTGGATGTCCATTAACGTCAGAGACTGCTCTTGTTCTCAGTGGTAATCCTGAAGTGTGGGCAATGTCAATGAGAACAGAAGTCTGGGGTCCCAGTTCCTGCCCACCATAGACTTACTTTCAATTAGCTTCTTCGTTATCTTTATCTGACAAACAGGGAAGTGTACCTAAGTGCCTTCTAACCGACATCAATGCACATGTACACAGTCTTAGGAGCGTATGTCGTGCTAAGTCATATGAAGCACAATTTGAGGAAAAAAAGAATCACTGAGGCCAACTTCCTCAACCTTTTGGCCAAATGTTGTAGATCTTAATGTCATATGGAAATATTAATAGAGGCACAGGCTAGAAGGATTTGGCCTCTCACTCAACGTGCTCTCCAATGACGTCAACACCTAGTTTGCACTGCTCTAGGTGAGTTTTCCAAAGTCCCTGTAGCTGCAGTGTGCTCCTCCCATCTTTTTGATATGTGGCACCTTTTTGTCATGTGCTGACCCTGCTGGGTGAGTGAATCCCCATGTGCTTGGAAGATTGTACTCTAGTACACTTGTAAGGTTCCTGAGTAGGGAAGGTGAATCTAGACTTGGGGCCGGCTGTGGGTCTGCCTTTACTAATGAGTGCAGGCTCTGCTAATTGGACTTTTCTCTTAATAAGTATTTAGTAGAGCCCTGCAGGGCTTGCTTCATTTCTTCCTATTTTTTAGTCACAGGATAATGTATATTTTTGGGAAGATCTTTGTTTTTCCTGCAGGGGAGGCAGAATCCTTCCTGCAGTACTCTATTCTCTTGCAGCCTAAGTGCTGTGGCCTCACCACGAGCAGGGCAGAACTGTCACCGCAGGAACTAGCAAAACAGGAAGGTGGTTTGTGCAAGAGAAAACTATCATCTCATTTGAAAGGTGCCTGATAATTACCCTCAATTATATTTTAACGCTTTTTGCAATGTATCAGATGAATTAGTGCCCTAGTCCAAGTGTCCCTTGAAGGCAGGATTGAAGTCTCCAACTTTTTAATTCATCCAGCATGATCAAGAACATCTTACTTTTGATCAAAGCAGGAGTGACATGACTGCAGATGATCAAAGACCTGAGAATTACAGTAGCGGGCGTGCTAGGAAGCCAAATCTGCCTTTTACTAGTGAACTCAGGAAGCTGCTCAGCTATAAGTGAGATTGTAATGGGAGACGTGAAGGTTAGACAAGAAAGAAGTCTCAGTTAGTCAGAGCTGGAAAATTACAGAGTGAGTAGCATTTCACATCTGGGCATTCAGTACTGAGGGTCATAAAGAAAGAATCCTCTCCCAGCACTTGCAGCTTGTATGAAGTTAAGAGGAGGGATTTGATAATGGAAAAACACCATCGATTAGAAAATTGGAACTGACTTTGATATGTGGCACCTTTTTGTCATGTGCTGACCCTGCTGGGTGAGTATGAATCCCCACGTGCTTGGGAGATTGTACTCTAGTACACTTGTAAGGTTCCTGAGTAAGGAAGCATATGGATGGAGCAGTGGGTTGTATGCGGTGTCCAGTTCTGTTGGAAAATACAGTTTCCCTATGTGTAAATGCATACTATGTCCTGATTCAATTGCAGTTGTGTTCCCTCTTGTAAAGAATCATGAATTTCTGTTTTGATATGTTTTCCTGTAAACTTGTGGTCTTTGAGGGATAAAAGTTTCAGCAGGGGAAGGGAAGATTTCAGCAGGGGGAGGGGAAGGCAAGACCAGGACAGGAAATTCTGGGGCTACTATGTCAACTGTTTGCATTATGGATATAAAATGTGACTGTCATTCTTGTAAAGCTGAAATGCAGACCTTTTCCATAGCAAAAGGAGTAGCATACTCAGAAATGTCAGTTGTCACTAATCAATAGCATAAATCAAAATAAACTGCACTATGCCCTTACTTCCTAGCTGAGTATCAAACAGACTGAGGAAGACTATGGGGAGGACAGTTTCCATTTGTGCTAGTTAGGCTTTCTGACAGGCTAATGTATCTTCATTCACTGGGAACTGCATGGTTTAGAGTGGGAGTTAACAGGCAGAACCAGCACTCAAAACCCAGGGAGTGGGTGAGACTGAGAGCTTCTGGGAGAGCGTGGTGGGCCTTGCTGAGTGGAGGAGCTTGATTTAAAGGACATCTGCAGTGCTTGAGGGAGGCCCATATTCCTTGCGTCAGAGCCTCGTGCTGTGTGAAACCTTCATCCTGGAAAAATACAATGTGAAGCATTCTGAGGAAGAGGTCAGCCAAGTGCTCCAGGGAGCTGCCTCTGCTAATCCACTTCAGTATCTGAAGCACGGGGAAAATGTGAAAGCAAATAAATAGTAGGAATACTTGAGGGAGAAGGAAGGGAAAAACAGATTTTTTTCTATCTATTGATTAGATGCTGTCTCATGGATTAATGCTATTGCCATGTCATTAACACTTGCAACCTAAGCGCTGCACCATCAGTAGCATTAGTGCTAAGGCGGCATAGCGTCAGTCTGGATCCTTCAGACCTGGTTCAGGGCTTGTGAATGACAGTCCAGATGATGGTGATTCAGTGGCTCAGGATGAGTTAGCTTCAGTCGAGTTCACCTTGCGGCAAGTAGCAGCTTCTCCTTACTCATTGCAGAGAAAATGACCGTATGAACATGGAGACCAAGTAGAGCTCCCACCGTGGAGAGTCCCCTGGAGTCAGGCAGCGACTGTGCGGCCAGTGTCCCCTCTGTCTAAGGAGGTGTGTGGGTTTCCCATCAGGAGGGTGTCATCTGGGTTTGTTTTGTGGTTCTCCCTTTGTACTTCCACAAGGAGCCAAATCGTGAACTCAGCTCTCCCAGTGAGTCTGCTGGAAATGCTGGAGCTATTTAGGAGATGAGGTACTTGTGAGAGTTAATGACTTGCAGGACAGTGCTTTTCTAAACTGTAGGCTAATGGAATAACTCTGTTTCAAAAGCAGTCCTCCTTCTTACCCTTCTGCCTCTCCGGGAGCACATTCTTTTTCTTCTCTATTTTTGGTTTGTGGATTGGGTAAATAGGCAATGATCAAAGGGAACTTTGGGACTCAGGAAACTTCGTAGGTGTTTCATAAAATGACATCTTTGTCTCCAGTGCCACTGACTGAGGCCAGCTTTGCCCTGCTACAGCATTCCTGCATGATAACATGTGCAGCTTGACATCTGAGCTGCAGTTCTCTAACTTAGCAGCAGACCCAGAGGTCCACAGGAAAGATAAAAATAAAGATTAATCTAGATTTTTCATTCTTATCTGCTCCGAGGGACGTATAGGGTACTGAAATACAGTGTTACGTGGAAGGCTAGGATGAGGCTAGTTTACCATTGCTGTCCACCTTTAGCCCCAGGAGGTAGGAGTGGTGTGTAACCTGCTGAGTGTTGCACAGGGATGTATTCCTGCCTCTAATCATTGTGTAGAACATGCACATTCAGACTCTCAGGCTTGTCTCACTCAAAGCAACCGAGGTAAAGAATGGATACCACAAAACAGAGTAAGAAAAATGAGTATTGTGGGAGGAGAAGAAAGCGTACAGGCTACAGACAAACTCTTATGGACATGGCTGCTGCTACCCCTTTAGTGACTACTTTATCGAGACTAGCAGTATTCCGGAATGGATCAAAGTTTGAATCCCTCCAAATTTTGTTATTGACTATAAACATGAGCTGCTAAGGAAAATAACAATGTTTGCCTAATTAAGGATTATATACTGGGAACTGAGCAGAAATCGAGGTCAAACATGTTTTAAAATGTTATTTTAAAATAATATGACATCAAAATATTAAATTTCCAATGAGATGGTTTAAATAGAACCAAAATGAGAACCTTGTATTTTCCCTTTTAACTGAAAATTCAAAAGATAGTTTGTCGATAGAGGATCATGAATTCTGATATTTTAAAGGATCAGTTAAGATAACTTCGTCTAGCCTCTGTCATGATACCCCTTCCCCCAGGTCCTCACCGTGTGTTTCTTCATTAGGCCCATAACTGCTGTGTGGTTATGCAGTTCTTAGGAACTGGGTTTGAATCAGACTTATGATAGTGAATGCTGAAGCTGTTACAGAGCTTAATTTAAACCCTTAATCCTCTTCGTCATTTAAGTATAGTCTCGTTGAATTCACTGGACAGCCTGGGCTTCCTTTGGTCCATAGCAATGAATTGTTACAGTTGTGTTTTATACCCCAGTCTGATGGCTAAGGTGGAGCGGTTTAACTGGAAAAGTAAACATATATGTCTATTTTAATTAAGAGTTGCATTGTCATTTGCGATATGCATGAGCTTTCAAATCCTTTCTTTCTCAAAACCATCTCAAATTTTTAACAAGGAAACTCCTGTTCCCTTTCCCCTCAAAATGTACCTGGAAAGTAAAGCCCTGAGAAAAGTCAATTGCATAGAGCTACACAACAGGCTTCACAGACAAGAAGCAAGCTCCAGCTTTTTGCTTTTATCCTAAGAACAAAATTTAAGGGAATTTTTATTAAACTCTCAGCATACACTGAGACACCCAGAGGGTGGGAACAGTGTTCCTTAAACGATCAGTGCTTTCCCCTGCTTTCAGTGGCAGCTGCTGTGTGCTGACTGCAGGGAAACGTAGCTAGTCCTTGTTGGTGCCTACAAGGGAGAAGAACTCTTCTGAAAGCGTAGCCACTTACAGCCTTAAACAAATGGGAATTCAGTTAGATGCTTTCTAATAACCTGGCCATTTAGTTTAAATTAGCAAAATGGAAACTGCTGAGCGCTCTCTCTTGAACATCTTACAATTAGTGTTTGAATTTCTAGATGCGTGGACAAACTGGACATGAGTGGTTGTTCTGTCATCGACAACGATGTCCACGCTTTCCTGTGAAATAATAACCGGCCTTTGGGTCAGATAGTGTAGTCTTAAGTTAGGCAGGGATCACAGATGACAACTTTAAGCACTTTCCCTTGATGCATAAGATCTGTTTTCAAGTCTAGGGCTTATTTATAACCTTTGCCCTTATTCTCCTTCAGGTACTTTGAGTTTTATGAAGGCCCTTTGGAATACAACTCCACAAAATGCCTCGAATTACGGCAGGATATCATTGCAGTGAAGGTTTTGTCTATGTAAGTATGAATGAATGTTTGCCACCTTTCAGGTAGGATGAAAAGGGTCACTTATAAGGTTGTCAGAGATGCAAGGCTCAAGAGATCACATGAACAGGGATCTCATCAAGGATTTCTGAGGTTCTGTTATCTGTGAAAATAGTGACATTTCAGTGTGATCTGTTGTCCACTGGAAATAATTGGAGGCTTTTCACACACATTGAGGAATTCCTGTCAAGCCCACTATGAGTAGCTGGAATTAAATACCACAATTGTAATATTGTTTGTAATATTCTATTCTAGGATCTCTACTGAGGGTAGTTCAAAGGTAAGAACTGCCGGACTGGCTATGAGTAGATGCCCATCTAGCCTAATACCTTGTCTTTGACAGTGGCCAATAGTGAAGGCTAAGAAATGCAGCAGAATGAGGTTGAATCCTTATAACAAATACTGGTATGGGGACTCTCTGAGCCGTAGGTGGTGTTTAGACCACTGTAATCAGAGTCAAGAATGAATCTCTTCTCTGTTAATTTGTTTAGATCTTTTCTGAGCCCGTTTATACTTTTGACGTCCACAATTTCCTGTGGCAATGAGTTGCACAAGTTAACAACACATCTAGTGAAAAAGTAAGAAACTGTGATTCTGACAAATAGTACAATATCTTTATTTTGTCTTCTGTGGTCCTATATGTACATCAGGAAGCAAATGTGTTGCCTGAGACATAGCCATAAAACCGTAAAGATGGAATGAGGCAAAAAAAAAGGTTGCCCATGGAGTTCAGGCACTGCAGGGTTTAGACAGAGCAAAGCAGGATATTTTCATGTTATCCTTTTGCATTTTCAGTACTGAATTTAGGTGCTTAGAGTATGCCTAATCCCTTACTATGTCTAAAACCAGTGGCTTTCATATTTAATAATCTTACCTACAATCCACAAGGCTTACTAATGCCTGTGAAATGCATTCAGTACCTCAGCTGAGAGGTACTATACAAGTGCGTATTGTTAATGAAAGGAGCAGTCAAGGCCACAGCAAATACAATTTGTCGCTCCAGGTCTGCATGAATTTTGAGCATGTCTCCCTCTCTGACTGTGCACAGAAAAATGTAGGTTATGTCCTTGTCTTCTGTTGTTGGTACTGGATGAAGGATACACAAGTAACAACTTTGCACTGCTTGCTGACTTTCCTTGCTTAAAAATAAGTAGAAGGGGTGAGAATTTGACACTTCTGCCAATGTTCTGCTGAAGATAGTGAGTTTTGTATTGCATTTCTGCATACTTATCAGATGGTACAGAAGATTATTCGTCTCTCTCCATCTTATCCAATGGCACATAGATGTTAGTGGACTCCCACTCAATTGGATAGAGTCAGCCTGACTTGTGCGGCTGATACCATTTGACAATGAGCTCTTTTTTGCTATGCTGGATTCTTCTAATGTGCTCGCAAAATATCTACATTTCCTGTCAGCCCTTACGGTAATGGAAGATTTCTAAGATAACATGCTCTCGTGGGCCACAGGAAGTACAATATGACCTAATTGCTTCCTGTGACTTCCACAGCCTGGGAAATCTTAAAATTGATTCACTTTAAATATGTAATTCTCTTTAAAATCTTTGCTTTATTCAGACATTCAGAGCCCTCACACCTGAAAAGAATACATTAAGATCTATCAGTCTTGAAGAAATCTGAGATTTCAAAATATCCCAGCCAGGATATGGCATTGCTTTGTAGCTATAGATGTTTGCAAGACCTCAGTTATTTCTGTTGTCCAAATATGGAAGAGTATGTATAAACTCTAAAGTAGAAGCAGTTTCTTGAGCTTTCTCCACTGCTGCCTTTTCCTTTGTCCAGGAGATTAAGACACTGTCTTTTACTTGCTAAATCTGCAGACGTATTTTTCTGGGACATAGTTCCATGAGATAACTAATTAGTAAAGAAATCTGCGTTGCCTTAATTACATTTTCTGCAAGTTCCTGCACTTGAAGCTTCTCCCCAGTCCCTCACCCAGAAATGAAGCCTGCAATCGCCAGTAATGTTAAGCCCATGGCTTACAATGCACTTTCATAAACTGAGCATACGTCTTTGACTGCAGCACATCAGAAAAGATTGTGAGGAAGAAAGTGAAATAGAGAAAGTAATGTAATTGTTTGTTGTAATTGATGATACCACAAAAAATATGTCACCCTGTGTCAGTCTAGAGGAAGCAGGTGTGCCACTATTTGATCTATCTAAAAGTATATTTATTGAACAGAGGAGGAGTAACAAATCCTTATATAAAGAGCTTTCCATGTCCTCTTACCCTCACAAATGCCTGTCACTACCTGTGGTATCTCAGGTTGTAAAATGCATTTACCAACAGCTTGTTTTGTACGATCTCATGGATTAACATACCCCCCCATATCAAAATATGAGGAAAGCCTCCCATAACAGTAGCTGGCAAACCCCCTAAAGCATCTTCTCTGTCAGTACCTCCTCTGTTGGGTCATCCTGCTAAGTGCAACTTTTCCTCCCAAAGCCGCAGCAGGTGCCAAACTCATTAGCTTCCCTGCAGGCTTCTGGCAAAATGTGGTGGGGTGGATGCTTCTTGCTCAGTATGTCATCTTTTCTCCTGAAAAAACAGAGTATGTCTATCAAGGAAGAGAAAACAGCTCCAAACAGCTGAAGAACTCCATCAGTACCTGTGTATACTTGGCTCGGAGTTGCTGTCTCTGAGGAGAAGAAGAAATATGAATGATATTGTTTGCACTGGGTGGACTGACTGGTTTCCCCCATGCACGTTCCCCTCGCTGCAGCTGGTGAAGGAGTTGAATGCCTTGTAATAAAGTAAATTTTGATTTTCTTTCTTTTTATCTTTTAGGGTTAAACAAACTGAATTGTTTGACAGGTGGAAGAGCCTACAGATGTGCAAATGGGAGATGAATGTCACAGAAGCTAACTTATTCAAGTAAGAATGGTCCACATTAATGAAACTGAGTAAGAATTACTTTGAAATGAATAAATATCAACTTTTCTTACTTTCAAAAAGTCAACAGCAAGGGTGAAAGAGAATTTCTGGAGCATGGGGGACAGTCGTCCCAGCAGAGGCAAAGAATTTGGAATGGGAAAGGCTTTTCTGGGTAAGATTCATGCAGAAGTGAGCCTGAAGCCAAGAGTTAATGTTTACACCTCCTACATTAACTGCAGGCCTATCTCTGGTGGTGTAAAATGGTAGTATCATTGGTGACACTGAAAATTTGCCCCACAAAAACCTTAAACTGGGTTTTTTTCTGTACTATATAGGTTTCTGTAGTGTATAGTGTACACTTGTTTTTCAGTTCCTCCTTTTTTTAATAGCTTCTCAGCGATTACTCCCTGACTAACTTCAGATACTTCTTCTAGTCTTCAGACACCTCTGCAGTTTGTTTCTGTAATACTTTATCTTCCCTCATATGACCTCCTCTTTGCAGAAGGTCTTCAATGGTCATTTCAAGATACAGTGTGTACAATTAGTCTTGTGAGGCAATAGTAGAATTAAGCCAAAACAATATCTGAATGTTGTATGTTTGTATATTCAAGAGCCTTATTTGAGTAGGTACAGTGAAAACAGATTATTCCAGAGTAAGTGGAATATAGACTGGCGAGTCTGTAAGTCAGTGGGATGATTCACTGCTGTTTAGAATAAGGCCCTACAGCTTTCTCTCTGTTCTCTTGCATAATTCCAGGAACTAGATATCTAGATATCTAGATAACTAGATAGAGTTAATGAGAGAATGTGAGAATGGATTTGCTGATTTAGCATCTTTAAAAATAACTGTTAGTCCCAGGTGGAAGTCTCATACCAAGTTTTCCAGCATGAACGCCACACATGGGGTTTTTTTGGTATATTTTTTCACAGAATCACAGAAAGGTTGAGGTTGGAAGGAACCTCTGGAAATCATCTAGTCCAACCCCCCTGCTCAAGCAGGGTCACCTAGAGCATATTTCCCAGGATCGCATCCAGATGGGATGAATATCTCCAGGGAAGGAGATTCCCCTACCTCTCTGGGCAACCCATGCCAGTGCTCAGTCACCCTCACAGGAAAAAAGTTTTTCCTCATGTTCAGACGGAACTTCCTGTGTTTCAGTTTGTGCCCGTTGCCTCTTGTCCTGTTGCTGGGCACCACAGAGAAGAGTCTGGCCCATCCTCTTGACACCCTCCCTTCAGATACTTGGACACATTCATCAGATCCCCCCTGAGCCTTCTCTTCTCCAGGCTAAACAGGCCCAGCTCTCTCAGCCTTTCTTCATATGTTCCAATCCCTTCATCATCTTTGTAGCCCTTCACTGGGCTCACTTCAGGAGCTCCTTGTCTCTTTGTACTGGAGAGCCCAGAACTGGACACAGGACTCCAGGTGAGGCCTCCCCAGGGCTGAGGAGAGGGGCAGGATTACCTCCCTCGACCTGCTGGCAACACTCT